ACCATCTTAAGCCCATAAGTGGAAATTTCTCCTGGTTTGAGAGAATCTTTCGATCTTGTGTCTTTTGGCTATGGAAATTTAATGCTATACGACAAAATTTTCAGTATGTGTTGCTATATATTGCTTCAATGTATCACATTAAGATATTTCGTGGAAAATGTTAGAATACCACATATTCAACATAAAACTTAAGTTCTCGAAATGTCAATATATAAGTATATATTCATCAGTGAACTTAGCTGGTGTAATAAAGTTTCAACAGAATCCCTGGAAAATTTGGAAAATTGGAAAATTCATAAAAATAAGTAATAACTGAAAAACGCTTAATCTAATATTAAGCGTTTTTCATTAGTAAATTGCATATTTATGGATAATTATTAAGTTTTTAAGGATCCTGTTATGTTATTTAAGACACCAGATATCTACTAATGAAAATATGCTCTTAATATATTATTATTAAGTTTAAAATTCATAAATTTTACGTTCATTCTAAGACGTAGTATTCCTATAAGAAATAAATACTGACATACTAAGGCGATAATTTCTCTATTACACAAAACGATAATTTTAGACAAAATTATAATGTTTTCTCTGTTAAACAAAATGATAATGATAATTTTCCTGTTTGACATAATGAAAATGATAATTTTAAAACTAAAATGTTGTCCTTGTTAAAAGATAGTCAGGCAAGGTAAAATACGCCCACCACCAGCTGTCAGAAATGATAACTAAGTCTTAAGTCAAGGCAAAATCTCAATCAAATTCAAACATGAACAAGGTTTCATCATAATACACACAAGGTAAAAAACTACAAAACAATTTGACGTGTTTTACTAAGTCATGGGCAATAACTCCAATTATTACCAATTCCAAACTTGACCGAGATCTTATCAATATATACAAGCATACTAAGTTTCTTCAAGATCGGATAAAAACTGTTTTCTCTATCGTGCCTACAAGCCAAATTTCGTGTCGTGTCGTGTTTTTACTAAGTCACGGGAAATAACCCCGAAACCCTTCATCCGATTGGTACCAAAGTCGTATTTGCATGCCAACTTTCATCAAGATCGGATAAAAACTGTAGCCTCTATCGTGCCTACAAGAAATGTGAACATGCGGACGGACCGATGGACAGGGGCGACGGCAAATCAGACGAGGAAAAAGGAAACTGTGACAGGTTATATCTGTATCAGATTTTTAACTTTTCTCATTGTGTTTATTCCAGGATTCCTTATTTTTATGAAAAATGTTGTATGGGTTGTTTTTTTTTTAGGGGAAATGATACTGATTTTCATCCTTTTTAGAAAATGTTTAATGATCATAAGGCTTAACGTATTATTATGGGGTAAGTGTGATGCTTATTCGTATACGGAATCATGAAAGCTTTCGACAAATTTATTAATAAATACTTCCGGCCTTGTTTTTGAAAAGCCTTGGTTTATTAGCCAGCTCGTAATCATGTTAAGAATTTATTGCTGATAATGGTTGCTTCCCTGCAAAAATATCATAATTAAAAGAAAGTTGCCAGTTGGTGTATATCATCTTACCAGACAAACTATTTTTAATCTTACAGGAAATGACTACACAGGTTTTTCTTTTTATTAAAGGCAATTGTAGTATCATTAAAGATCATTATGGCAAGTATGGTATCATTATGGCAATGGTAGTATAATTATGGCAATGGTAGTATCATTATGCCATTAATGGTATCATTATGACTATGATGGTCTAGTTCTCATTTCTTATGAGGAAATGATCTGACCATAAGACACGATTTGAAAAATAAAAAGTATCTTAATTTTTTCGTGAAAGTCAGTTTGAGTTTTGAGTGATGTGTCGTATAATGAACGGAACTTCTATTTTTATCTACACAGATCAAAACACCGCTTCAACATGTTCAATAGAAGTGATTGTCATTAGAACTTAAAGTCTAGTCTGAAACAAAACCCTTCCGATTTGTTATACATTTTAACAACATTTTCCGCCATATTGCCAATCATTACTACACGACAAACAAGAGTATAGGGGCGTATTCAGAAAATTCCTTACAGGGCTGGGGCAAATTGAGAGGTGCCTCGTGAAGCTGGAATTTCAGAAGTAAGCGGATTCAGGTGGCCTAAAATGAATTTTGAGCATGTATAAGGCTTACTTTTCACTTCAAAATAAGATCTTTCACATGCTTGAGGGGGGGGGGGGGGTACTTTATATACACCTTAACAAGATTAGCAAACAACAAAGAGATATAGGAAGTCCTAACATTAGTTTTAAGCTCTATCTACCTATCTGTATCGCTCTTCAGATTGTCTTATAAAACTCTTAAATATATATCATACAACTCTTCCATTCTGTTAAAACTAAGAAATATCCGACGTAGTAAATGTTCTAACAATATAATGTAAACAGTTCAAAAATCAAAGTAGTCCTGCATGATTATGTCCACTTATATCTTGGGCCTTTTAGTTTGATTTTGAAATAAATAGAAGAGGGCTCCAGCCTACACAATATATGTGTAATTTGGTCAAATTGGGATATCCTTGAACCAAAACATATCCTATTTATTGATCACATATATTTATGTTAAGTTTCATTAGATCGTGTTTCAAATTCATATAGCATTAAAAGGGTGATAGGAAGATATTTCATTACTTTTGGAAAAGACAACATGGTACCATATTTATAAATATTTACTTTAACAAAATTTCAGGTCGTTAAACTAGTTTTGTCGAATAAAATCGACTTCAGTTTCAAGTCTAGAAAATGCCACGAAAGAAAAACAATTAAATGTGATAAGATCTAGGCTATAGCATAACGAAAAAAAGCTTTGATGTCCAGATTTCGTGAAAGTCAATCTAAATTGGACTCTCTATCATAATGTAATATCCTTTTTAAAAGCCATCCTAAAATTCTTAAAAGCCGGAAGTAGATGACAAAAAAGGGCAATATTCACCCAAGTTGTGTGAATACCGGTTTACAAAATGCCTAGGGGAGTATTACATTTGCGCTCAGTTTACTGTCCAACATGAACGACAGTTCTTTCAGGGATGGGAAAAGTTCGAAAAAGGCACAGCCCAAGATAATGTGCATACGGCTAAAATTATAAAGATAACTTGTTAGGCAAGGTATCCGTTCCGTTCGCCATAAAACATGTTCCCCTGGGCTAATTAGCACTTTGATCAGGGTCAGTTTGTCCTTATAAATCATATAAGGTGTCCAAAAAAAAAGACAAATTTAATAAATGTTTCTAATGCAAAAAGTCGTCAGTTTCTAGGAATAGGATTCCAAATCACTAATTTAAAGTGGTATAATTCTGAAAAATATATCGGTTGTCCCAAAAACATAGTCCAAAGTTCGACGGGGAATATCCCAGCTGTTGGTAAACTGATCTCTTTCAAAATTCTCAGAGATGTACTTCACGATGTCTTTGTCCAACCCTGAAAATACAATATCAAGGCAACTTGTCTATTTCAATCTGTGCCGTCCATCTTAACAATCAACACTTATGTAGTGTTAAATCAGTAAAGTAAGAGCGATTCTTCTGTGCGTTTAAGATTCTAAAATAAATGGAAGTAATTCCGAGGGCGAAATACAGCTATAAATTATGGATAAATTTTAACGCTTTCACAATTTTATGGTGGCAATAAAACGTTCTTGCTGCAAATGGGTGTAGTTTTTAAATCTGTAATTGTAAAAGTTTAACAATATAACATTTAAACTAATATATAAAATAATTAATATTACGGAAATTTGGGTAAAAAATATCGTAGGGCGAAGTCATCAAGAAAGTACTAGTGCTGGCACGATATATCGATGAATCGATGTATCGCGATACAACATGTCACGATTCGCGTATTGTATCACGACGTCGTGAGTATCGATACATTTTATTCAATGAATGGATTGTTATAAGTTGTTTTCTTATATAACAATTTTTTTCACTGAAATTGTTAGAAATGTTTTATAGGACAGTGGACGATAACCACTTCTATCAACTACATTACCAAATATCACAGTTATAAAGTTATAAATTAATAAATATTGAAACTTAGAAGATCAAATGTTCATTTTTATCCCATTACCCCATATCGCGATATATATCGTATCGTGACCCTTGTATCGCAATACGTATCGTATTGTGACATGATTGATGATACACGGCACTAGAAAGTATGATTATTATCGATCAAATAGAAATCTCAAGTTTCACAACAACTTAATCGAGGGTATTGACTAACAAGCGATAATAGAAAGATTGCTTATTTTCTTAAAATAGTACATTAGTTTTAGAATGACTTCGCTTTAAAAATAAAATATAAATATATCACACATTATGTCACACAAATTTGTTTTACAGAGACCTATTTTCAGTCAAGTTTGTGACTATTTTGGGCTCAAATTTTTAGGAGGGAAAAGTGTTTCTTTCCAATGTAAACTTACAAAAATTATATTTTTTTTATGAAATAAAGACATTCTAGGACTAACAATACTAGTTTGATGCTGTAATCCAATTCAAATAAAAATAATGGATAAAATTCAAAATACTTTTTATTTTACTACGACAATGTCATCGACATAAACCTATAAAATTCCATCCAAATCATATGAGAACTGTGATGGTAATTATGCTAACAAGCTGATTTTTGTGCGCTTTCATCATTCACTATTCTACATTCAAATACCAAGTGTTATCAAAATCAGATGAAAATAATAGTTTCTTTTGTGCTTCTAGTGGGCTGATAGGGACAACGGAACCACCATTACGTCCACGTTTTCATGTTGTTGCAAAAACAGGTAGATAACTACAAAATTTTCTGCGTCATAATTTGTTTAATTACAAAAATTACAAGGATGATCTAGCGGTAGGAAAAGTACAAGTATTGAACAAAGTACGGATATAAATAAGTCCGAAAAAATCACTTTACTCATCCTCTTCAACACGTTAATATAGTCATCATCTGATTATCATAAAGAACCCATCTTGAAATATTGTTTCTAGAAACAAATTACAGCTTGGATTTGGCTGGAACTGGTCCCATCCAATGTTCATCTGAAAAAAAGTACATGAATACACTCATAGAATATAGAAGTATTTGCTTAACTAGATCTATCAATAACTTATCCATATAATCCAGATCAATCAATAACCCATATCTACAAACTAGATCTATCAATAACTTATCCATACAAACTAGATCTATCAATGACTCATCTGTATAGTCTAGATCTATCAATAACTTATTCATACAAACTAGATCTATCAATAACTCATCTATACAAACTAGATCTATCAATAACTCATCCATACAATCTCAATCTATCAACAATTTATCTCGACAATCTAGATCTCTCAATGATCAATGTATACAATCTAAATCTATCAATAACCTATCTATACAATCTAGATCTATCCAAAACTCATCTCTACAATCTACATCTATCAATAATTATACCCCATTTGCCCTGATTGATCCATAGTGAGACAGAAATTATTTGATACGAATTGTTTACATTTCAATGGCTTGAAACTGGAATGTATATCTGTTACACGGAATCTTGTACTTTTAAAATAATGACGTTTTTTATAACCTTTCTTCAAAACTATCACCGACAATGTTTTCTTAAAGAACACGAGGATCACCGTGACTTGGCGTGATCTGTCGCCTGCAAATTCATAGAATAAGGGGGGTGCGATTATCAGTTTTTTAAAGAGTTGAATGATTATCCGTGCTAAAACATTTTTTAAAATATATGAACACTAAAATTTATGAATAAAGTTTTAATCAACTAGCTTGGACATATCAGTTTCAAAAGGTAAACCTACGGTAACTTGATTGCATTGCATTGGTTACACGAGCACATTTGGCCAAAGTAGGCCCTAATGTGGTTATCTTACTTGAAATGAATTTAGAATATGATCTCGTCAGACGGACATGTACTTACTTACACAACAGCTATATAACCAAGGCGTTACAAAGGTTACAGTTACATGAGTTGTGACACTCTTTTGATTTTGTTTTTGATGTTCAGATACGAACTGTCGGAACTGACTGATGATAGATCAATTTCCGGGTCAACGTTAAACTCACGGAAACTAACGAACGTTGGAGAGGGTTGAGTGAATGGAGCTCAATCTGTAGCATACAGACGGGCTTGGTTCCCATCCACTCTGTAACAATGATCACGTCAACAGTGTTATCAAGGTGAGGTATTTCAATGTGGCTAATTCAAAGCATCTTTGACGTGCCAAAAACATGTATACATGTAGATTGTCAAGGACTCAAATGAACAATCTGAGACGCCGATCTTCATCATTGGAGACAAAAGCTTCGTTTTGTTTTTCATGCATTTTAAATACCTTCCATAAAAGAAAATAATAGTATATCTACAGATTTAGCAGAATTCTCTTTTTCAAAAGACACCAATACGTTTCATAACATTTTATTTTATATTATTAGAGAGGTAATTAATATTCCATGTTAAAATTAAAGATAACAATAAGCAAGCCAATATAGGTCAAATTCGCCCCAAGAATTTAAACATAAAAATGAGTACTAAAACTAGGCAAAGTGTATAAAAAGTATCAAAAATCAACCACCAAACTATACAAAACTGCCACAATCGGTAACAAAGAAATAAAAATTTATTTAATGCTTTGAAATGAAGCAGCGATGATTATTATTAATATTTGACCAATTGTTGCCGTTTGGCCAGTTTATGGTTGACAAAACACACCTAAATCCTATTATTTCATATAAATCAACAATATAATATTATAGTACATTGCCCTGAACCTGATAAATGAATATAGTCCTCTAATAATTCAAAAACAAAATGATAAGACACTTGCTTCAACCAACATAAGATCTGAATTTTCAAGATCGCAGAGTCAACCCTTCGTCGGGTTCATACACTGAAAAATGTTAAAGGTTGCTGTATCACTTTTGAATTTTGAGTACATATATTGGTGAGGTAGATGACATCGGCTTTCATAAAGTAATCCAAAACAAATATTGTCAAAGAAATATAACAAATTAATATCACAGTGAATAGAGAAATAAGAGTCGATTAGTAAAATATGGTGATACAATGGAAATAAAAGATTCTCCTATGGTTATCAAAATGGTTATAAAAAATTCAACTGTCCATGCAAACTAATTTAGAATTTGCAAGTCTGGTGGTTCAGTTCTTACTGAACAGAACATTTTATGGGTTGAATTTGTAAAAGGCGTTCACATTCATTGAATATCTTCAGATCGTCGTCGTTTTAAATGAATAACAAATATATTTACTAATGTCCATGCACTGCCATGCTAATTTCTGAATTGTGGTTTTATAACGTATGCATTACTGCATGACGTGTTTACAAATTCAAAGCAGTGACACAAAATAGCGATAGACATATGTCAAATATTTTCTGACGTGTACGACACCAAAATATGCATCTTTACAATATAATTATTGTTCTACACATGTGCAACTAGGATTAAAATGACATTATTCGTCTCCGACCATCAGTTCAATTAAAACTAAGAACAAAACATTAAAAGGCTTCTCAACATCCGGTTAAAGAAATTCACAAACACTTGGTGTTAAATTTAGCGAGAAAACTACATTCACATGAAAAAGACAAAAAAAGGCAAAGAGCACAGCTGTCAATATAACATTTCTTAATTCTTTTCAATAAAAACCTTTGATGAAAATGATGAAGCGACCTGTTGTCAAATCCAACATGACTTGTGAATTTCCGGTTTAATTTGAACAATTGAACACTGGGAATTAAAAGGAAGTAGCACAGTTTTATGTTTTTACGATGAAAGCTCACAGGAGATCAAGAGAATAAAAAGTTTTTCTTTTTGTCTCTTCCAGTAAAATCGGTCTCCAGCGTTCAAGACGTAACAGGGCATGTAGAATGTTATTTTTTATCTTTACCAGCAAACACCAAGTAGAATTCACAAATATACTATTACAGAACTTGCAAGAGTCTTCGACGTCTATCATACATGGCGGTGTACGTGGACTTAAGACCCCGCTCTGCCTCCTGATTTCCTTGCATCCACAAAATCGCGACCGAATTCAAGTAGAACGTTTTCATGAACGAAGAGTTATATGAACAATAATGTTACTTTCTTAAAACCAATAAACCAAGTCCGACTTGAAAAGGGAAGTCCAAGGCTACGGACAGCCTTAGACCAAAGGATTGTCTGGTCCTGATTTAATAGCTGTTGCACTTATAAAATCCCGTTGAAAGGCGCCTGTTAAATATTTATCTAAATCCATGGGAACAGGACCCTGCCATTGAGCACCTGAAGAAAGAATATTTATCAGTATGTAAGGATGTCTATATGGCTAGTCAAGTTTGTCTAGAGTTTGTTACAACTAATATATTATTCTGTACGTCTCTGATCATGACTATTTGATATACGATGTTGTAATAAAATATTTACCTATTAAAGCAGCTAATATTGGAAATCTATCAGCACCAAATATAACTTCTTCTTTATCTTCAACGTGGGCCACAATATACGGTGCTCCAAAAGCCTACATTAAATATTAATTTACAGCATTTCAGGGAAGTATATTATGTCTGTTTTTTAAGCCATATTCTTATCATTTTTCAAATGAATTCGCCTAGCTATTACGAACTGCGAACGTATGCGTTGACTGCAATAGTCACCTTTATTGTATCACGGCGATTGTTCGCCAACGAATACAGTCAATCAGAGACCTCGACAGAACGGCTGTGTTAACATTATGGCTTTATGTACACAGACTATCTGCCAGGCCCTCTGATTGGCTGTATTCGCTAACGTACAATCCAACAAAATCCCTGCATTTAAATACTTCATTAAATGTGCCCTTGCAGTAAAAAGTATAAATACGATGGCCACGCAACGAACATGGATGTTTACAGAGGTTTTCCGGAACCGTGCTTAGCACAAGGGCAAGTCAGTGTGGTCAGAATGAAACAAAAATATGTTGAATTGTAATTTTGAAAAAGGTTACAGGTAATTTTATTGTAGTAAGCGTTCTGGTATTACAGAAAATAATTTTTTCTTTTAAAATCCATACAATATTGGTACGAATTCTGATATCTTTTTCTTTTATGTTATTTCAGGTGGTTTCGTGTGGTTATTTTGATAACACGCCACTGACCTCCAGTTTAACGGCTCTATCTGTGTAGGCTCGCAACCTATTTTTAACTGGTAATGTAGACATCATTGATAAGGCTTCGGTAATCTCTGCATCTTCTAATCCGGCTTCGTTACTGGCCTATAAGAGTCAGAGTCAGTTCATCTTTTATTGATTTCTTCATAACCATTGTCTTACTCAACTCTTAAACTTAAACTGACAATTTGAATCAAAAATCATGTTCGTCGTTCAACCTTGTATTAAAACCCCTGTAGGTAACAATATTGATTAAGTTTACACATGGTCATCAGTTAGGTTCTGTTGGCATTTCGCATAAAGGTGCAGGCATACGAGCGGTCTTGGTATGAAATTTTTTTCTCCGCCTTTAATCTTGAGTAAAACCTCGCGTGTGCCCGTGCTTCCACGATAAGATTATCGTGTCGCCGAAAGGATTTATAATATCAAACAAGTTTGATATTTGTCTCCGATATTTTTATCGTCTGCAAAACAGAACGTCATCTAATCAGATTCCTTTTCCTTTCAATTGCATGCTCCGCACGTGATTGTCGACATGGTGGAAAACGACCGACTGGAGATTTTTGTCTCCTCGTGTTCCCGTGCCAGCCATTAAAACTCAAGACAAGACTCTAATTGGCGACAAAAGTCTCTGACCAAGACCGCTCGTGTGTCCACCGGGTCAGTGAAAGTGATTCTTGATAAAAAATACAAGTTTCCTTATGTTTTTGAAGTGATGAAATGTATTTCCAAAGTTTTCGATATCAGAAATCGAATTACGATGATACAACCTGCAAACTGGTGGTACAGTGTTTCATGCATGTACTGTCTTTGTCCTTTTGGATATCTTAAATATGGAATAATTCAACTTACATCAACAAAGCTCTCTGGTAACGTAATGTCTTCATCCTACATTCAAAGAAAAGTTTGAGGTAATGATTCTTTAAACTATTATTATTTTATTGGGAATCCTGTAAAATCTCATCTAAGCTCATACTTATCATATTTCTGATCTCTGACAATTATTTACGTAAGGCATAAGGTTAGGAATTTCGCTTTCAACCACCACAAAGGGGCCATTACGGTTTGCTTTAACACTTATTCATTTTGTTGGAAATAAACGCAAACCGAGGAAGTGAAAGTCCACTTCAGAATTAAAAAAAAAGTCTGTACGGGGTTTCACCTTCTGTACTTACTTTACTCCATATCTTCATCCATAACTGTCGGCTTATTTCTTCTGTTTTATCTATATTCATCATATCTACTGCAGTTATAAATCTTTGAGCTTTTAATGAACCCTTTTCAAACATTACTTCAGCAACATTCTAAAATATAATAAGTCTTATGTGAGACAGACTTTATTAAAGGCTAACTTAAACCGACTTTACACTTTGATACTGCTTCACTTTTCAATTGTAATTTTCAAATATCCATGTGCTCCTTATTAAAGAAAGAAGGCTCAGATCAAACTTTCAATTACCACGACTAACAAGCGGCGTTAACTTTCCCAGTTTCATCTACAAACCATCCAAAGTAGGAGGAAGAGGATTTGTAGCCTCCTAGGGCAATGTGTTCAAGCATCGGTCGATATAACTGGGCAAAACAATACTTTAATCTACAATAATTACTCAACAAAATTTCGACATTTCACGATTGTAACAAAATGTCCAAGACAAAACATTAATAATACTGTACCTTTGGAGGTTGTAATGGAACTTTGTAATATTCTGCTAGTCTAGATAAATCTTTATACATATATTTAAACTTATTGGGCACTAGGCCAGGGGGTCTGTTACCTAGAATTATAAAACTTATTCATTTACCGAATTGGAAACTTTAATATTAACGCAGGCGTTAATATATACCGGTATCTTGTTTGTCAGGATATCTCGAGAAGTTGAAATTTTAGCAACTTACTTAGTAAATGGCCGCAACTGGCTTCCACACATAGTGTCATAAGGCTTAATGACTGAGATGGTGTTATGATGATCAATTTTTTTTGCCTAACCTTAGACTTTCTACAGTTAAGTAAGCCAGGACAATGGAAGTAGACTATACTCTATTCTGATGCTAACGCGAGTAACGTGTATACAAACCAGAAGCCTCCATAACACCGCTTAGAAAAAAAGGTTTCAATTGTAAATCTAAATTCCAATTTGATCGGTATCTACACAGGACCTGAAAATGATTATTAATGATTAAAAACACCGAAACTTTTATAAACTTAAACTCTTTATAGCCCCCTGCATTAAGACCTGAGGGTGGAGATCCAGAGACCCGTGAGTATTAGGTTTTAATTTTAAGTAGGATAGCCCCCTAAACATATTGGCAAAAATTGTCAAGGACTTTAAGGAATTTAGGGCCGCAGTCGTGTAGACAGTAGACCTGTACAATACTGGCATTTGAGACAAGTGGTATTTTGATATGTATTTCAAAAACATCAGATTCAGATAGTAACTAAATTCTTAGATAGGGCAATAACACAGGTCAATTACCAGACGAAATGTCAAGCATAAAAAATAATTCTCAGACAAATAACATGATATAGGGCTTATATTTTTTTATATTTCCGTCTTTGATGTTGTCTTTGATAATAAAATATAATAGAGTTACCTACATATAAAGTTGAAATGTGTTTGATACAGCACTTAAAGTTCATAGTACATGCCCTTATGCGAACTCCTTGTAGTCCGTAATTTTGGACAAAGAGGCATATATCATAATATCATAAGTACGATTTGGCATACGTCTAATATTGATTTGGACAAAATGGTCTCCGTGCGATTTGACACACTGCCACTGGGTGATCTCAGCTTGTTTACAATTAAATGTCACACAGAATTTTATTAAACATGTAAATAGTCCATACCTCAAATGCTAACCAAGAATAAGGCGATACAACATCGTAAAATAGTTCAACCGTTTTCTTTGTCAACTGAGCCATTGCATTTAGAATCGAAAAATGGACTTCGGTCACGGCTTTCAATGTTCAGTTAGTTTGGTTTGGCATAAAGGTGGATAACTCTTGAAAAAGACCGTACCGATTTCGTTTAATTTTTATTGGGGGCAAAACACTTTATAAAGTAGCTTAATGCGATAAGTGTTCACCGTTTCTAAGATAATCTGACCAAGACTCCTTGTTTTGTACATTAATTGGATATGTACGGAAGGACATATTTAATTATTATGTACGATTTGCCAGACCGGGACACTTGAGGAGTAAAAATGATAAAAGTCTGGACAATCAGAAATTAAAGGTGGCGCTGTTTTCAAGATGGAAGCAAATTTTGGCAAAAATGAAAATTATGATAATAAATCAACTTTCTATGCTATATTATCAAATAACTTGATTTGCCATGTTGATTAATTGTTGTGTTTATGAGCCTATAAACTTATACCCTATCTGAAACTTACTGTGATTGTCTTAAAATGGATAAATTAAGTATCATTTCTGGTGCCTTGTTTTTCGCAGCTGACATATTTGCTGTCATAAGTCTTGCAATGCCAAATTGGATCATTTCTGAAGTAGGAGGTAAATTTTAATTGTCACTGGGCTGTAGCTGTTTCAGACATTTATCTATTGAGTTATAGTGTGTATGGAAATTATTTTTATACTGAGGCTTAAAATTACATTCAATTCTTTGCAATTCATGAAATTGTGTCAATACAGTGGTGTAACCTATTTTCGTGGATATAAGGATTCAACACCGAATTTCGTCAAAGTTAAGAAAAAGGAAAAAACAAATTATGTCTTAGAGGTTTCCTCAGATATTCTACCAAATAATTAAAATTGGTTTATTTCGATTTTCTTTATGAATCCTTCACTTTGACCCATATTTCATGAGCAACCAACTTTGCAACGGCGGAAGAATGCCTCACCTATTTTCGTGTACAATGTTTGATCTATAAATAAGTCTAGAAAAACACGTTGTATGGATGCCGGGTGGTATAATTAACTTCTCTTAGTATTTATCTTTAATATCAATTCATTATAACTGGTGACAATTCCTTCAAAGAACCACGATTAAAAAAAAAAAATAGAGACTGACAAAATATTATACGTAGCGTGATTTATTGCTAAAAGTCACTGAAACAACATAAGAATATGGTCCACTTTGTGTTCCACAGAAATTTTCTGCTGACACGGAATCCGCTAGTTGATCACGTGACTTCATTCATTGGACTACATTCTAGCAGACGACACTTGGAATTCCGATTACCGCTTGGGATTATAAGGAAATTCGGCCGATAAAAAATGGTGACGTTTGGTAATAAGTGAAATCCGCCATTTTGTATTTGTCAAAATATACATTAATACATTTTACTTTGCTTGAAACTACTGGATTCATTCTACTAGCTGATATTGTAGAGAAAACCAATATTTATTAAAACAAACTAATGCGGAGGTCGCGCAAGGTCGCTCATGTAAATTATTAATCCTTTCCGGAAATCCACGAATAATAGGTTTCCACGAAATTAGGTTACTCGACAGTATATTGAAAATCATACGGTATCATTTTAGAATTTGTCAATTTTCATACTCTTCCCATCCAGCAAATGTCTTTTCTCTCAATTCTATTTAAATTTTCTTGCAAGTTTTCACTAACAATTTGTAAGGCAACAAAGTAATTCATGGGCATTTTGTGGTTAATTATAAAGGCTTAGATACTCATGTAAACTTTTGGACTTATACCCAGAATCAACATGCTTTTTGATTATAGCTGTTTGTAAAATTTCCTGAGATGTTAAGAATATAACAATTGGGAATTATTTTTGATTATAATACTTTTGCAGGGAATGTTTATATTGGACTTCTACAGACCTGTTTAACAATTTATGGCAGGCCACCTATATGTTTTTCCCCAGAACCAGTTCGTGCTGAATGGGTACTGACATTCATATGTGTAGTTCTGGGCATTATGTGTATCAGTATAACAGTTATTTTATTGGGTCTCTCATTGTGGGAATACAGAGTAATGAAGTTTGCACGATGGCTGGGATTTGTGGCAAGTAAGTATTTAAGGTGATACTCTCAATGTAGAGTATTTGCCCTAGCTTTTCATGCAAAGAGTTGCTTATTTTGTCCATTTTTATCAGCAAGTCAATAGCTCATACCACTGTTAAGAGATCAATTGAATATTTTTTTTGTTCTAAATTACCTCCATACTGTAATCTTAACATAGAAATATTTGATGACCGTACTCATCATTTATATATTATATATAACATGGTTGAATGAATTATGGATTTTTACAGCTTGTACCAATCTGACATGGTTTAATGAATTATGATTTTATACACAGCAGCTCATGATGTTACATAAAACTTCACTTTTTTGTTATATTTTTCAGTGATTTTATTCTGTATTGCTGCTGTGATATTTCCTATTGGTTTTGATATGGATCAAATAGGAGGAGAAGCTTATCAGTTACCTAATAACTTTCGTGTTGGAATATCATATATTTTCTTTGTATTGGCCTTGTGGATTACTGTAGTGTCTCAACTATTCGCATCTAAAGTTTGTCTCCCACATTTTTGAATGCAATGTGTTTTATGGAAGGAATGCATATGAGACGTTAAAAGGCAAAATTTCCTTGATTTTTTTAACGAGGAATAATTTTCACTGTTGCCAAAACATGTTTATGCAAAGCTGTGTTTTTTGTTTTATTTGTCAGAATTCTGATCTAAGATCTACACAAGGGATTAATGATTATTTTGTATTTCAAAGTGTATTTACTTCTGTGAAAGGAAAGAAGTCAGATGAATGTAAATTGTTGAGCAATGATATTTGAGCACAAAGGATTCTTAGCATGAGCGAGGGCAGTCTTCTTTGTTTTTAGGTAGTTTTGAGTAATTATTACAATATTAATAAAGTTTTAAAGTTTTATTTACATAACATGTTACTGTCTGGGTTTATTTTTTGAATCTTCTTCCATGAGCACAAAAATCTTTGCTGAACTGTTTTGACATTCAAAGGAATTAATATTTTGGAAAGGTTATTTTTTGTTTTTGAACAAATCAATGAGGGTTTTTCCTTTTTATAAGATTGTTACAGTATGTTTCCTCTAGTCAGTTTTACATAATTGCATGTGATTGTGTTTGTTTGTTTGTTATTGTTGTCTTCCTTGTCTTATTCAATCATGACATAGTCTATTTATAATCATTGACTAAGACATTAAACCAAAGATCATATATTTCTTAATATTGAATATATCTATTGTTATGCCCACATGAACAATATCATTATCTGTAAATTATTTCTTAAGCCAAACCAGTTACAATAAAACACTGAGATTTTGTTACTGTAAAAATATCCCATAACATGGGCAATTATATCACTAAGTTCTTTTTATAGATGGTTATAGGAAAAATATGCCCAGATATCAAACCAATAGACATGAAATGAATTCGCTTCTTAATTAATGGCAAATAGTGTATAAAAAAATATTTAATAGTATTGTAGTTAACTTCAGGTAACCTGATATATTTCTTCATAATGGGATTCCTACCCCTGGTTTGTCTGCAATTGTAGAAAACCCTATTGTTGGATAAAGATAAAAAGTCAAAATCTACTTTCTTTTAGTAAGTGGTTGCATGCGGATTTTAGTAGCTGGTATTAGGTTGGTATAGTTTGAATATTTAACAGCAGATAGCGACCATATATATCCCGACATCTTTTATTTGAAAATTCGTCCGTACATCAATAATACTTATATATGAGAGCATACTAATCACGTAAGGAAAGCTGTTTTGCTTTATTATAGAGGAACATTTTCATAAGCAGGTCTCTTCAATTTTTAATTTATTGTTTAATGAATATAAATAATTTCTTTTTGAATAACCAGTACTATTTCACGGATGGAGCCTGTGTATATACTCTTTCGATTGATATTTTAGGTTCAGGATATCCGATCTGCTTTTTTGGTATGAGATTTAAACTTGTATTTCTCACAGATGTGTAGGTTGTCATGGTCTATTAACCTGCAAAAAAATAACAATAACATACTGATATCATAAAATCATAATAGACCTACGTTAATTGTATTTGTATTTACATGCATAATTTCACCCGAAAATAATATTTAAAAAAAGTTAAACGAGCTCTTCTGGCATGTTATGACTTCATAAAACTAATGATAATTATTGAAGTATGAATAATTCTATAATGTAATATATTTTTACTATTTTTACGAAATATTAAATTCCAATTCAGCGGAGATAGCACGCTTAAAACAGACTTGATGTCGATATGCATCCAGAGCTCCACGACTGTCAAGTAAATTTCGTCCCTTCATATCAGAAACTCACTATATTTTTAGTAAATTTACGAAGAAAACGGAAAATCTAACATTTGAACCTTGAATTAAAATTTACGTTAAAGAAAGAATATATAGGAGAAACAAAAATAATTTAAATACTCGATTTCGGCTCACAGATCAGACAAGCCCGTGTCTAATCATTCCAACTTGGACGACTAATCATTAGAAATTCCTGACCTAACTTCCAATGAACGCATAGAAATTGAATTGTGAGAAATACCGTCAAGCTAGGAAAAGTCCATTGCTTTCAGACACTGATTACAGCAAGACCAATTGGAGTGAATACCAGAATGCAGGCATATAACATTCTTCGCATAGTCCCTTTTAATAAATCACCAGTAATAGGGCAAGTTAAATAGTCTATGTCCGTTACGAAAGTCCAAGAGAGAAATCCCCCCTGCACAGTAGCAGAAGATGAACCAGAAATAACCAGCCGATCTATCCTATCCTAAGCCTTCAGCTAATGTAACCCCTCCTTCCTCGAAATCTCTCACATTCGACTTCAATGTAGGAATGTAAGCGAAAAACGGAACTGAACTTGCTATTATATACTAATTGCCAAAAAACAAAAATCTTCTGAATTATCTTTTCAATATAATTATTGCATTATACATTACCTTGGTTAATAATTTAAATGTGGTTGTCCCTACAAAGTACCACGGTTTTCTTCTACAGTCTGCCTTTTGTAATCAGGTTTGATACACACTGAAATATTAATATTTGTATAAAACTCAAAAACTTGATCAAAATCCGAGCAGCAATGAAATCAGCAATGTGACTGGCAAATTAGAACACACTCGCTCATAGGTCACTATGACAAGAATATGGACCATTTGATAGCGGCAGATGTCATTTCACTATATAAAACTCTACAAATGTTCCATATACTTACTAGTTACAATGCCACCGATCACAAATATAACTATTACTGCAATATTACTCTGTAACACTCCATAATCAGAAATAACTATTCTTAAGCCAAGTGTAAAAATTAAACCACAGAGCTACAAATATAATAGATCTTCTATGATTAAATGGAGGATCAACGAGTTTTGTTGTGAAAAAGTTGCCTCTTGCTGATCAGATGAAGGCGGGCAATGTCATGTAGTGAATAGTGAAGAAAATCATTTAGTGTTTGAACTGTCAAAGATTCCAGGACAGCATGACGCGAACAAGCTTGGTCATATGCAAACCAGTCGATGTTTTCCATGAGTTCTCTTACTTGCAATCGCAAAATAGTATCATAAGCACAAATTAAGTCAAAAATATACATGATATAGAGTGATCAAGTTGAATGTTGTTAAACCTCAACCATTCAATGCATCGAACCAAAGTAAAAATTGTGGTTAAAATTGACAGCTCAAGTGGAGAGTTACTAGATAAGAAAGTATTTACGTTTGCCATTGCTGTAAGCACACCACTTGATATGCCGTCTGGTTCTGGATACGTTAATTCTGCAGCAAACTCATATCCCACTGGTAAAAACGCTGTACCAAAAAACCTGTAAACATGTTCAATTAATTGGTTCACTCAAATATTGGTGGGAAATTTATCTTCAAAATATCCTCCAGTCAATGCCCCGGGGTTCTTCAATTTGGAAAGACAACTCGGTAGTGGTGATAGAGTGTCCTGTGAAGTGAGCCAGCAATTCATTATTGAATATGGTCAGATCGTTTGCCAGTGAAATAGAATGCAAAATGATCTATTTTAATTATATAGTGAGTTCTACTATGCAGTGAATATTGTGGCCGGTGGTGCAAATTATCAGAGCGGCGTTATTCTTGCGAAACAACTCATGAAACTGTGCGACTGAGTTCAGCATCATTTTGGAGTAGTCCTCAACGCTAACATTGTTTCTCATTATATTTAATACAATTTTAATTAACTCATCTCACCCAAGTATTCCGGCAGTAATAAATACGATCCATATTTGATTCTGATCAATAGTAAACGTAAATAACACCATAGATAAAGTTGATAACCAATATAAAGCCACGGACGTTCTTCTAAAAATTAAAATCAATAAAAATTGATATAAAAATGAAATGACATATGGTGTGAATCTTATCTTTATAAATAAATCGACCATACAATAAATACTAATTGTAAAGGATATAAAATTACCGATGTGACATTCTGAACATTACTCTGCCTACACTATTGAAATACATCATAATGATTAAAAATGTATTTCTAATGAACCAGTGGAAAACCAATATCAATACATGTAGCTCTTTAATGAGTTAGTGATACCATTTGTCAGGTTTGTTGGTGAAAGTAATATTTTAATGATAAAATTTGCATTTGAAGGTCAAGTAACATTTCAGGGAATTTCGGTTTTAATTGTATCAGATGTCTCAATACACCCTAACACTAGAAGAAAGACTTCTGGACAAAGGGTTAACCTTCATACCCACCCATAAACCATTTTCGATTGAACCAATTTTGACGTCGGTAACTGAAGTTCAGAGAACATTTAAATTGAATTATTACTTTCGCGAAAAACTTGGCCGCGGTAAACGAATCAAATTTACGGATAGATCTGGCTGGAATCCACCAGATAATGCGTTTGACCAAGATATTTTAACTATTTGCGACAATTTATATGAAGAAATTTCTCATTTGCCTTTGGTGAATGAGAAAAACAATCTTACCAATTTTGAACGAAAATCTCTCAATAATCTAAAAAATGACAAAAACATTATCATCAGGAAAAGTGACAAAGGCAGTTGCTGCGTCATTCAAAATCGCGATGACTACATTTTTGAAATTGATAAACAGTTGAACAATCCAAATCACTATCGCCAACTTGATACACCTATTTTTATGGAAACTACGCGAGAAATAAACAATATTCTACAAAATTTGGTAAAAAAGAAATTTATTTCAGAAAAGCAATATGACTACCTTTCCGCGTCCACTGAGCCTCGCCAACGACACATTTACACGCTTCCGAAAATTCATAAATATCCCGAAACTGAGTGGTCCGTTGCCAACAAAATTCCTAAAGGTAGACCAATCATTTCTGATTGTTCTAGCGAATCATACCGAGTTTCAGAATACATAGATTACTTTTTACTGCCACTAGCATGCCAACACCCTTCTTATCTGAAAGACACAACCGATTTTGTTGAAAAAATCAAGAAATTGGACATTCCCAAAAACGCGTATTTCATTTCTTTGGACGTAACCAGTATGTATACCAACATTGACAACAATGTTGGTTTTGACGCCGTCCGTAAGGCATTTGTTCGACCTGTTATACAGAGATTTTAGATTTACGCGCAATGACTTCTTTTTGAATGGAAAAATATATTTACAAACATCTGGAACTGCTATGGGCAAACGATTTGCCCCTAGTTATGCGAATATATTTATGGCCGAGTGGGAGAGGGAGATAGAAAATATCTCACCGTTTAAACCTTTATTTTATGGCCGGTTTCTTGACGATATTTTTATCATTTGGTCCGATACTCTAGAACATTTCTGGAAATATTTCGAAATTTTAAACAACCACCACCCTTCTGTGAAATTGATTTTGAATCCGCCTGTAAACTAGTTTTTGACAAATTAAGGGAGAGGGGTTATTCCAAAAGGTTTCTTCGAAAAATTAAGAATGACACGCTTTCAGACATTTTGAGAAAAGAAGACCCCCCTCCACCTTTTATTGGATTCGGTTCATTTCCCTGTGGAGGTCCTACTTGTCGCACATGCGAACACATACATGTTACCCATTTTTTCAAAAATAACAAGAACGGAAAATTGTTTGCGATGAATAACCTAATTTCTTGCGGAGATCAAAATATCATATACCTAATTTCTTGTAAAAAATGCGATGTACAATATGTTGGCGAGACTCAAAATGCGCTTCGAACGCGATTCAATGGCCATCGCTATGATATAGTGCATGGCAAGGATAGACCAATTGCGAATCACTTCAACCTTCCCGATCATTCCATTGATGACCTTCTCATCATGCCTATAGAAACAGTTTCTACATCACCTAGCATGAAACCTAAGCTTAGACGTCTACAACGCGAAAGTTATTGGATCGATCAACTGCAGACTGTGAGGCCAAATGGACCCAACATTCAACATGATAACCAGATAATACCCTTTATAACGACATTTGATTCTACAGCTACCAAAGCCTCCATAATAGTCAAACGCCATTACTCGGAACTTCAGAACAAATTTCCCCATGTATACACAAAACGTTTGGTTGTAGCTTACAAAAGAAATCAAAATCTTAGCAATTTCCTCTTTCACGGTAGACTTGAACCATTGAACAATGTCCATTCATCCTAGGAGCATAGATTTGTTAATATAAATGTATCATGTTCTATCAATAAATTAATCTATTTCTGAGTTAGATTTCAGGGAATACTTATTTCAGGACTGGTGCCATGGCTATATACAGTATATTATATAACATGCTGTGTATTTTTGTGTTTGTGTCTTTTCAACTAAAATCATTCTAATGACAAACTAATTTTCACATAATCAATAGACTTATCTATTGCTCTGTGACCTAGGCCAGTGCTTTCATTGAGACTCGTCTCAATATACCCTAACACTAGTAACTGAATGTAAGATAAGAATGTGTGACACTTCAATAAATACTACGTATACAGATACAGATGAAGAAGTCCAACGTTAATTGGACTGAAACGGTTTCTTAAACAAACAAATCTTACTTGTATGTTTTAAACTTATCCAACCATAAACCAGCTAAAATAGACGAAACAATTCCAGCTAGGATAATAACTAAACCAATTCTGCTAGCATTTACCACTTCATTCTGAAAGTAAAACATCACTACTGTTTAAGCTACTTATAGTCCAAAAACTACTTTATCCACAAGTCAGTTATAGCGTTCGATATATGTTTTGCATGTAGTTTCATTTTAAGTAAATGCTTTCAGTTCGTTCGTTTTAAGTCAGAGACCTATATTCTGGAAGGTTAACATTCATTCCATAGCCAGTTTCTTAATGCTCAGTTCACACCAACGGCGCTTTGATGGCGCTTTAAATCGGCGTTCAAAGCGGTACCAAAGCGTAACAAATCTCGACTAAAGCGCCAGGGTCGTAATAGATCGTTGGAAAGCTTTGAGCAAAGCNTGGATATTCGGCAAGAGCGCCAAAAT